TCCAAGAATTCTCTTGCATGTTTGGATTTGGCTTGGTCTAAAATGCTGAGAGTTTCCTGGTTAAAACTGTGGTTGAGTCTGTCCGTGTGTTGTGAGATTAAGGAGTTTTCATCATGTCTTCTGACTGCTAAGCAAAATAGAACCCCCACCCTTACCAACACTGGCAAGGCAGGCCACAGCAGATCAACAGAGAGCAAACCTCATCCCATTTTAGCACTGAAGATGTTACCTATCCGGGTAATGAAACGTTTGCAAGAAAAGAACCAAGCTCAGCGAACCCCAAGGACCCCACAGTTCAACCCTGAGCTACACATATTCGCCTCCAGTGAGATGTATGTCTGAGTCTTTTCTGAATATTTTCTGTTTGCTGTGGACTTAAGATACATTTTTCCCTTTGTTGTTTTGGTAATGGGGCCTGTGTATCTCCATCAAGGTAATCTTCCTTACTCTCTACTGTAATCTGAAAGTCAAAATATTGTTAAGGGGAATGCCAGTTAATTTTTTTTTAAGGTGGGTGGGAAAACTAGAGATTATCTTTTGGAAAAAAATGGGTTTGAAATATTTCACCTGAGGGGGAAAATAGGCTCCATAGGCCACTTTTCATAATTATCCTCCTGCAGCAATTTGGCCATCCTTTTCCCTTTCAATAGCTACTTAATATTTTCCAATATCTTTCAGTGTTTTGCTCCTGAGAAACAAAATTTTCCTTCCCTCAATCAGTATGGCTGGATGTGTGTATCTCACTAAACAGTAGTTTAACTGTAGTTTGCTGAGTAAACCGCAATGGTCTGGGCTTACACCACACTTAACGTTACATTTATTGTAATGATTTTGAACAAGCTGACTTCCCCACTTTGGAATGGTTTCTAAAATGTGGGATCCAAATGTTCTAAGTTGTGAATAAACCTAAACCAGTTCCAGTGAATTCAGCCTTTGTCTTTTGCTCTCAACTGCCATGCACAACTGCATAATCTTCTCTTGGGGCCTTCATATAAATGAAGGCAACTTCATTTATATCAGAACCTAAGCCTTCAAACACCATCTGCTATTGCTCCTCTTGCAATCCATTGTCCTTCCCCTTTAAAAACTTTTTCTACCCATTCCAAATATTTAGGCCAAACAGTTGGGCTCAATATCACACTGGACATCATGCTGATCTCACAATTCCAAGGTCTGAACTATTCCTCTGGTCTTGGAGAAGGAGAAACAAATAAAACTAAGACTAAATTCTTGTATGTATTTACTTGGACGTAAGCACTGAGTATGTTAGGACCTGCTATGAAGGAAACAACAATAGACTAATGTGAAAAACGGCGATTCTTTCAAAGCTCAAAAGAAATCCTGTGTGGCTTCTGATCCTGCCTCCTAAGGATTCTGATAAAAGACAGACCAATCTGGCCGTTCTGTCAGCTATTCCCTGATTTATTCTTTTTTCTTCCCTGTTACTTTTTCTCCTTTCTCACTGTATCTGTTTTTGAGTCTGACAACCCAGACTTGTAAGATCTCTACAATGCTGAGAAAACCGTTGGTACTTCACAAATGTATTAAAAAGTGTAGAAATGATGTACTTCAATTAAAATAAGTTTAAAATGTTGAATGGTACTGGGAAAAAAAGGACTTCACAATATATATTTGAGATAATCAATGTGTGTATTTCAGGCAAGTCTAATTGAAGGAGAGAAGGGACAGAAGAAGATCTAACGGCGCCAAAGTCCAAATAAAAAATAATGCAACCTTTGCAAAGTGAACATTTCAGCTGCAACATTTGACTTGACTTAGGTGTGCTGTAGACCAAACCAAGGAAAAAAAATCCAGTTTGCCATTGTGTTGTTAAGCTTCAAATAAAATGTCCTTAAGCTACTTGCTGATAGCGTGCAATTCTCTCTTGGGAAAAGTAAACACACCTATACTGACTTTTGAAAGTCAAACATGCTTGTGATTGCTTGCAGATCACATGTTTCTTTGATCTAGAAGACAGGCTCACCATCCTAACAATGGGTGATTGTTCAAGAACAATCCAGGAAATTTGGGTTATTTACCCACAGGCTGTTCTCTTCAAAATCTGGCACACCAGTGGCATCACTGAACAGCGCACCATTATTGGTGCTCCGGATCTCTGCTGAGATACATACATTTCATCATGCAACAATAGAACATAGGACTACTTGGTTCACTTCTGTTCACTTTTCTACCACCAAGGGACCTGTGTGTTTTATATGACATGGAAAAAATATGGATTGGGGCTGCCACCGGCATAATCAAATGGTTTTGGCCACTGCCTTTCACCATCCTTGCAGTAATTCAATTCGACTTGGTTGCATTCCATACCCATTAATATCCAGTTCCATTTCTTGCAGCTCTTCTTTCATTCAAGAACGCAACTGATAGAGCAATGGCAAGTAAATTCAGCAACATTCCCCACTCCTTTTTCTCATTCTTAATTAATTAGTCTGAGGAAGAGTTTTAATAAACCCCAAACTTACTAGGTTGTCTAATAAAGATATTGCTTTGTGGATTCTTTTGAGTTTTAACAGTGACAACTTTGCATACAGAATGTTCTTCATTCAAGACCTCTTAATCTTATCTCCTAGAATTCCAGGCTCATTCAGGCATTTAAGAATACTGCTTAAAGTCAAATTCTAGATTTTTAAAAAATTCACTCCCTTTAATGCTGGGCTGTCTTGAAACATAACAATAAACAAAACTTTGGTGGAAGTATACCATTTTAAAACTTAAGATATTGACCTGCAGAATCATATGGTTCTGATTCATGCAGCTATCACATTATAACTACAGCATCATAACAGGGAAAGTTAAAAAAAAGTCGAGTTAGATTTAAAAACAAACAGCAAGTCCAAAACTAATAGGTGTACCCTTCCTACTTCCAGATTTGTCATGGACTGCAGGAAAAAAGATGTTCCACCTAAAATTTTCCCCTGTTTTCACCCATCATCACTTCCTCATCAAAACAAATGTTGATGCATGCAGTTCGACAATTAATCCCTTGAATGCAGGTGTATCGATACAAAGACAGGCAAGCAAGCATAGAGAGAATCATATTTTTTTAATATTCTCATTTACAATTATAAAAATAAATAAGGCAAGTCTGCTGCAATAAATCCTGTACTGAAAATAACATTTTAATTTAATGGTCAATCAATAGGCACAACAATGTGATGGTGATATAAAACCAGCCAGATATAGGACCCCATGCTTCAAATCATTAACAAATCTTTGGGTGTGCCCTTTGGACCACAGAACATTTTTTTCCCTAATGAAGCTCTTACCGAACAACGTTTAATCATCCACACCAACTCTTGTGTGTGGAATTATTGTCTATGTCACCAAACGTAGACTACAAATACAGCAGTTAAGGAGGTAATTTGCATCTACAGGGTGCAAGGTTGGAGAAAGGCTTCAATAACTGTTCTGGGACTTCGGATACACAAGGAGTGTCAGCTTCTAAGTCATACTTGTGTGCGATGCTAGGGACTCTAGTTGTACAGATCACCTTTTTGCACAGAGATTCTTTTCCTACACAGTTGTTAAACTATTAACAGAGTAAAACTGAGCACAGAATAAGAACAGAATAAAACGGAGCACAGTTGGCATGTATAAATTTCAGACATTCCTTGGAGAACTATTTTTTAAAACTTCATTTGTGTAATTTTAGACCTCTAGAAAGCTCAAGCATGAGATTCTAGCTGGTTATCTATCTAGATCAAAACCTGCTTAAAACTTCAGAAAGTCTGCCTCATCATTTGCTTCAGACCATGTCCTTCCAGATTTTACTCATCCTGCTAGTCTGGTGTCTGATCATACAGAGGAGACATGGATAAAAGAATTGGAGGTGGCAGTTCTACCCAGGAGTAGCCATTCCCTCCTGCGCATTTTATCCTCATGGGAGTATGCAACTGACTTGAAGTCATCCATAGAAACTCCAGAAGACAACCATCCAAAAGCAGATGTTTTTAAGTCAAGAAGCATTCAACTCCAGGCAAAAGTAATCTGGAGCTGGTATCATCTTCCAGGAGCCTTAAAAGGGAGGAGAGTGAAAGATGTTCAAAGAAGAATTCACCATGTTTTCCTGGGATGAGCAGAGAGGAAAACCACAGCTCTTAAGACATTTGTATCTTCACTGGTAACTAGCACAGCTGGAAGTGGAAGTCTATGTAATGCTGAGAACATCTACTATTTTTTCCCACTATCCCACCCGGCTTTCCCAGTGCATATACAATCTGTTTTCTGAAGCCAACTGGCAACAAAAGGCAGGCAGAATTTATTCCAAATTCAGAGAGAAACTGGAGAAATGTACTGGCAAAGAGAAGATGTGCCAAGCTCAATCAGGAAGAAGATGAATCTGCAAAAATACTGCCATCTTATGGCTTTGGAAATATAAATATTTTACAGGATAAGGAGATGAACACTACATTTTATAGCCAATGTGAAAAATAATCTGGGCGTATTTTATGCACAACAAAAAAAGGACAAAAAAAATAATTTACTCTGAATATGAGAATGCACTGCTGATTAACATACAACAGTGTAATAGGAATAGTAGGGGCCTCCACAAGTTGCCAACTTCAGTATAGCTACTAGCTTCCCACATCATTGGCCATGATACTTGGGCAACTTGGAATGGTGGTTCAGCAATATCTGGATGGCCACAGGTTCCCTGTGTAAATTGCAGTTACATAATACGCATTATCAGTGAAAAGACTTCAAAGATAGGTCATCCGAAAGAAATGACAAAACACTCCATTGTAATGTCTTAGGAGATAAATCAGTTCTAAATGGAAAATAGCTGAGTTGCTGAAATTCCTTTACCCTCATCCCTTTCCCTTCAGTAGATCTTCCTAAGATGACTCTGTGTGATTCGTGTCTAGGAAGAGGATTACTTAGGACCCAGCAACATCCCAAGAGCCTGACACTAATTTCAGCACCTCAGCTATTTCCCATTTAGAAATGGGAGTTGTATAAGGACACAGAAATCTACCATCACATTATTTCCCCTTCTAACCTACTATGGTCTACACTCCACACGGCTTCAATTCTTGATCTCAAGCTAACTCGCCTGTTACTTGGTTCTTCAAGGATGAACTTGGTTCTTCAAGGATGAACTTGGGACCTTTGGCCTGCAAATTTGCCACTGAGTCTGTGGCTAGGACCATAGCGCTTGTGTTTAACTCTTTACTCCACCACTTTGTCATGAAGGTCCACAATTCATTCAAAATTAATGTCAGGCCATTGGTAGACCAGACTAAGAAACCAATGCCATATAGGTCAGGAGGACTTTTATTGTCATGGTTATAGTAACAGAATCTTCAAGTCTTAATGTACTTCCCCCTTCCTCACTTTATCTTTGTCTGAACTAGGGAGGGGCTTGTCTGAGACATTTTCTCAAGTTATTTTCTTGGCCTAGGGTGAAGCCCCTCTTATCTGACCATTGCCTTGGTAACGGCTCTTCCTCCTGACCTTCAAGGCCATTCCCTATACCCTCTACAATTAATTACCATTCCGCGACTCACAGGAACCTATGAAACTGATGCTTGCTGGATCTGAACATATTTTGCTCCCTGGTCTCCTTACTCAATAAGTAGATAGAGTCATATCACATATGTGGGTATGACTTTGGGGAGAACATTTGGAGGTTTTCTTTACTTTTTTTTTTTAAATGGCACACCTATTTTAGGGACTACAATATAATTATGGTGGGTCTCCTAAATTAAGGTGGCAATCATTTATGCTCTATGTTTCTAGCAATTATGATTAAGTGGGGCTCTATGGGCCACAAAAAGGGGACTTTGGAGCTGTATGCACTCCTGGCCCAGCTCCAAATGATCTATTCTGCAGTTCTAAATCTCAGATCAATATTTTCCCTTCCCATACATCCTGTCCTTTTTTAAGAACAGAAAATGCCAAGGACAGAATCTCTGCTCTTCTACATGCAAAGTGTGTGCTTTATCTCTGAGAGACAGTTGCTTTGTGAAACCATAAAGAAGCTTCTTGTTTCCTTCCCAATGCATCTTTTCTCTGTATAGGCCAATTAAACAGTTTGGATCCACACAATAATGTTAATTTTCAGCATTCAGAATTAAACACGCAAACTAATCTCAACAGCTCTAGTCTGCTAATTCAATGACTGTGCCCCCGCTGCCATCAGCTGCCCTAGGGTGGGGAGAGGCATGACTGAACCTTGCTTGTACTATAAATAGGGCTTGTATCTTACTCCTAACAGTTGCTGGAGTAAGAGATTTCTTAGTTCTTGCAATAAAGATACTAACTGAGAGCTGTGTTCTTGAATCAGTGATGTGAGGCTTCTAGTTCTAGCATTGGCCAAGAGAGGTATAATAGCTTTCACCATTGCTGGAGTCATAACAATGAGAAAAACTTTACCTACATGCACTAGCCTGGAATCTTTGTCAACCTGGGATGACAAGATATAGTCAAAAATGATCAGAGAGCAGCGATGGTCAAAATAAAAGCAGAGCTAAGAATATGGGGCTTTTTTTGAAGAAGAAAAGGAGCTATGTACAATATTAAAATGTGAACCTCAGCCTTATAGCCAGACCTTTTGCCTAAGGCAAATACATCTGAATTACTGAGAGACCATTAGGATATATACAAAATGCTGGGTTCAGTAAACAAAGTTAGCTTTACCAGCTGAGTGCATTAAATTGCTGCTGGTGGTTTCTTTGAACACACAGTGCATAAGTTGAGGAATGACAAACAGAGCCATAAACAGAGCCACGCATATCCCTCCAAACACATCCTTTCCTTGCATATGCTAATTAAACAGTTTGGATCCACACGATAATGTTCACCTTTTGGCATTCAGAATCAAACTTGCACGCTAATCTCAACAGCTTAGTCTGGTAATTCAATGACTGCTTAATCAGGGGCATGCCTCTCAGTTTTTTCCAATCACAGACATTCTAAATTATTATTTTTTAAACGATGAACTTTCTGCTTTGAAAGCATTATGCAACCTTAAGAATGAATGTTGATCAACATCTTCTGAAGCCCCTGTACAAGGGGCAATTCAGGAATGATCATTACAATCAAAGCGTAATCTGTGGGCAAGGATGCCCAAATACCCACCATTAGAAAATGGCATTGTGCAATGCATTCATGCTACACAGTGGCTGGGTTCATGCACCATGCTAAGCCATAATACAGTGAGTCGGTGTTTGGTTTAACCTCTTGTGTGACTCAAACAGAATGGTTTGGAAATAACTGTTAAAGCGAAGCATGGCATCGTGTAATATGTGAACCTAGCCCATAGCTCAAAAGTGAAGATGGACAGAGATAGCACAATCCAATTATCTGAATTATCTCTGAGATAATTTTGAGTCCCATGAGGGCTGAGCCCTGAGCTTCTGCTATAAATAAGTAAACACAGAGGCATCATTTAACAATAAGACATACAAAGGTTAGATATAGGAAGAACCTAGAAGTCAACCCCTGGCTATACACCCCCTTGCATTTTAGTGAAGAGTTCAATAAGACATTTAAGTTGCTGTTCAGTCCTGGTTCATCAGTCACAGTTTGGAAAACCATGAAGCACTTTCATACACAGTCCATCCTCCAAATGTCCAAGTATAATTACACTTTAGGTTAGTCTTAAAGCAACACACTAATACATAAAGAAAAAAAAATACATCCAGAATTCAGTTAATCAAGTCTCCAAAGTTACAGTAGTGTGGGCCACTCCATTGGTATGCAAAACTTTGGAAAAGTGTGCAACAAAAGAAGGAATGAGTGGTGGGTGTGACAGAGCTTGCAAACACTTGAGAGAAAAAGAGACCACGAGATTTTCAAGGGCACAGTTGGTCAACTATGGGAATAGGCAGACGCCAATATTTTTTTGATCCATATTCATGTTCCTGGAAAAGCAAAGTGTAGATATAAAGTAATCTCTCAACATGATTGAATCTGTAGGGCTGTCCAGTGCTCTGGGTTGTCATTTATAAATCCATATATTCCAACAGAAGCCCTGGGAAGTTGGTGGCTTTTGCTACAAGTTTGGAATGAATAGGCAAAGAGTGGCTATGCTGAGCAGGCCAAAGAATCCTTCCTCTTATACCAGTCCTATCCTGTTCCAAGATCTGTAGCTGCTGGCCAGCGGTGACTGATGGAAACCATATCCCTTTTCATGCCTGAAGAGGATCTGGAACAGATGTAGCCACTAAACAAGGCTCCTACCTGGCACATATGGAGAGATCTTCTGAAGTCTTCAGTGTCTGTTTTTAGAAGACCTCTATTTGCTTCTCCACAGTTTTCACTGTCCAGGTGTAGCAAAGTGGGTTTGAATTTGTCATGCAAATCCACTGTAGTGGCAAGTGTGTGTTTTCACAGTGTGGTGCTTAGTTGTTTCTAGACCAAGGAAAATCTTTGTTGTTAGGAGAACAATTCCACTGAGAGAACTTTCGCCCTGGTGGTGTCTTATCAACGGTGGAACACGCACTAATGGACAAAAGAATTTGGTTCTTAGCCTTGCAGAAGCCCTAATATGCCATAGATGATCAGAAGGTGTGTCTTGGGGTGCCAATTGGGGAATCAGAAACCTGCAAAGCCAAAACAGCAGCTTTGCCACAGTTTTAACAGCTGATTTTGTGCACATCCCAAGGAGCAGGAATGGAAGGCAAAGCTGTCTGGCAGGAAGAAGCCAATCCTGAGAAGCTCTGGAGAACCAGCGATGCACACAGAGCATCAGACGTTCAGTCCAAGAGGCAAGGAGACAACATGGTAGAGAGTCCTCATTGTAGTTCTGGATCTAAAGAAAGGACGCTGGATTTCCTAGTTTTAGGAGGAGGAGGAGGAGGCTTGATTTCTCGTCTGGTGGGTAAAGGTGGAGCCACCTGCAATAATGCAAACAGCGAAAGAGACAGTTGGCCTGATAAATAAAACTAGAAAGAAATGGAAGACCTGGGATGGGAATGGTCAGTTTTGGGGATGGCTGGTTCCCTAGTCCTACCTGACCAATATGATCTGGTCCCAGGCTGCAACAATACCACCATTGCTTGGATTTTATCATATTTAATGATAAATATGAAATATGAAAATTATGTTTTTATTGGTTTTAACCGCCCAGAGTCCCTCCTTGTGGGGGAGTTGGGCAGTGATATAAATTTGATTTATAAATAAAACCCCACTCCAGTGATACAGAGACAGGGACGTGCAGGACCTACAGCAGGTCTCTTAGAGCAGGAACGGTGACCTCATTTGATGGAATGGCAGGCAACTGGCAGGTTTCAGGGATGTGACAATGAGGTTTTTGTGTTTTTAACATCTGGGACAGGCTTGCACTGAGGAAGACCCTGGGCAAAAGCTCAAGATTTGAAGAAATGAAAGGAAGTGAATCTTCCCAGCAAGAACCTGTCGGCAGGAATGTGAGGTGGCTCTATTATTAACATCCCTCTGCCTATTATTTTCTTTTTCTGTTTTACTTCTATTTTTATACTTTTTAATGTTTTTAATAATTATTCTATAATGGTTTTATGCAATGATTGTTTATATATTTACTGTTTTATTGGATTGTTGTACGCTACCCGGAGTCACTTTTTGTGAGATGGGCGGCCATATAAATTTAATAAATAAAGAAAAAAGAAAAAAGAACCAGGAAGACTGGATCGAACAGCCACAGATTTTGCTGAGAGCGAGGAGAATTTAGCACTGTCCCTCCCTTATGTTTTTTTTTTCCTTTTGGGGAGAGGGGAAAGAAAATCATTTCCATACTCTGGCAGTTTCAGGGAGAGAGCCATTGAATTAACCAAAGACTTTTAAAAAACACACAGGTACAACCCTAAAAAGCCCCTGGGAATATTTGCAGCAGTGCGCCTGTCTCAAGTAACAGGATCCAAATGTCATCTTCCATCTCTGTACCTCTGTGGAGTTTCTTGAGCTGCTATTCTCATAGGGCTTGCATTTGGGCGGCGGTGGGGGAGGAGAGTTTTGCAAATTAACGGTTGTTAATCCATCTGCTTGCAAAGAAGGGAAACCTAGTGTGGTAGAGAGAAGAAAAAAGACAGATGGTGGCCATGGTTAGGGGGAAAAATCGTTTCTAACAGAAGCATACTTGCATCACCAGTACTTGGAGGCATGCACATTTCCTTTAGCTGTTGATTGTGAACAGATGTGTCAATCTGGAATCCCACTTGCCATTGCCCAGAGCCCGTTATCACAGAAGCTTCATCCATGCACAGCAAATGAACCTAAGCACATGTGAAAAATGTCCTCTTGGGACAAGGGAAAACAAAATCCAGAATGACACCAGAGAGGCCCACTGGGCTTTCCTTTCACATTGGCCATGATCCTTTGCAGTCTCCAGAACTCTTATGATAGATGGAGAAGCCACCCAAACTTCTGGTGAACCTGGAGGTGACTGTCTTAGTATTAATGGAAAAGGATAAAGCAGTCAAGCTCTAGTTTCCTTTTAGTATGGATGTTTAAAATTACATTTTGAATATATCTGTTACTTAGTCTTGGGGAAGGACCAAATCAGATATGGTGTTGGGGAATCCATGGTCAAATTTCCAAATCTTCTGTCATTTTTGAAAAGTGTAAAATTTGTTGTAAAATTCATTTGCATTGAAAAATGTGGGTGCATACATTTGCATCTCGGTGTTTCTCTCTCTATGGGTGCACACACACATATGGGTGCACAGAGACCCCCTGAGACATCTCAAAGAAGCAATATTCATATTATAAATTTCAGCCAAAAATAAGCAAAGCCATATTATAAAATCTCAATGAAAATTAGACATTCGGACTTAACTTATAAGATATGTGGTAAAGCATGTCTAGGCTTGAACTGGATCCTGATAGATTCTAGAAGCACTTAGATACAAACAAGATTTATTGCTTTGGAGCTATTAAATGTCCAATATGAAGTTAATCTACTCATACAGAAAGGGCATACTCTCCCCTTCTTGGCCAAAGCAGTTTTACACAACACCCCCAAACTGCCATTTTATGGTCCACCAGCAAGCCTTGTGAAATTATGTTGAATTTTGGGAATGCTGGGATTTCAAAGAAAAAAGCTGAAATTCCAACAGGGCACCTTGCAAATATCTCCACCCATCTTGAAGATAGCAATTTGGTGACGGCTGTGCTAACTTCTCCTATCAACACTCTCAAATAGTGTTTCTCAAACCTTGGCCACTTTAAGATGTGTGGACTTCAACTCCCAGAATTCCCTAGCCAGGATGCTGGATGGGGAATTCTGGGAGTTGAAATCCACACATCTTAAAGTGGCCAAGGTTGAGAAACACTGCTCTAAAAGAATAGGAAAAAGTGGAGGTTGTCAACATACTTTGAGTTCTCGGCGTTTTGGGAGTGATTGGTGGTGGGCTGAGTGCTGTGGCTTGTTGAAGTGACGAGTTCTGAAGCAGAGTTAGCTTGCTTTCCCCCAGTTGCAGGCTCTTTGGCCTTGGTGCTTTTCCTGATGCATTCTGTACAGCAGAAAGGGAATAAATCTTTACTGAAGTGACTTGTGATGCTACTGTGGATGTCACACCGTAAATCAGCTCCTTTCCTGAAAATTTCACTAAGGCCCTTTTAGAAGCCTTTTGTGTAGAAAAGAAAACTCAGAACAAACAAGGAAACAAAACAGGCTATCAATGAAATACATGGATATGAAGGAATATTAAAACCCCTTGTCTTTTAGGGAAGCCTTCACCAACCTGATGTCCTCTAGTTGTGTTGATTATAATTCTAGCCTATGCTACCAGAGTTGATGGTAGTGGCAGTCCAACACAAATGGAGGCCCAAGTCACACTCTAAAATGCAAATGGACTTAGCAACATCGTGATGCTTAGTAGAGGTTAACAGGGACTTGGAACATGGATTATGATTATATTTTCAGCTGGGAGCTCAGAGGAATTAGCAGAGGTCAACACAGATAGGCAGCTTGCCCTTGAGGTGATCATCAAATGTTCTGCTAGCTGAATCCCTCCCAACTTTTCTTTTAACAATGATGTGAATCGCTTGCATGGCTAAGAGAAAATGACAGAAGTTCCCAGGGGAATTTCATCACTCTGATACATTTATTACCGTTTTGGAAGCCAACTCAGCCTCTGGCTCCTTCTCTGCGATAACCTGAGATTTACTGAGACTCCAGTCTTTCCGACGGAATTTATTAGCCCAGTTCTCTGCATCATCTTTGGCAGGCTGTTCTTCCATCCTGGAGGATGCTGAACTCCTCCTCTCCACCAGCGGCTCAAGAATAGATCTGTAGCCCACACAGAAATAGAGTAATAAAAAATTATGCCCTGCCTCCCCTTGTCAGCCTGAAAAAATAACACTACTTGTTTCTTGGAGACCTGAAGCCATTTGACAATAGACAATTTTCTCCATGATTGCTTCCCATTATTTATTTGTTTCTTCGAATTTATTAGCCAGCCAACTCCAATGGTGGCGTATAAAACCAGAAAACACAGAAAAACAGATAAAAACAGCAAATAGTTCAAAGTAATAGAAATTCTCCTGTTTTCATTTCTGTCATCGACCCCTTTTTACAGTTCCCATCACTCACCCATCTGATCCTGGTCTGGACGTAGCACTGTCAGATGACGTAGAGGATGTTGATCCCACTGAGGAAGTGACAGAGGTAACTGACAACCTTCTCAACGTGGAGGACATAATGTACGGCAAAACCACTGAACCAGACCTGCTCTGCTTTCTCTCCGTCAGTGAGGAAGGCTGCCATTAGAACACAGAGAAGATCGTGAAAGAAATTCAAGGGCATTTGTTCATCAGAAGAAGAGCATCTATATCTCCTGAAGCTTTAGACGGTTCTTCTCCCAAACCATGTAACATCTTGGAAGAGATGTTAGCTCTGCAATTGCTTTTTAAGTCCCCACCCCCTGGTGGTCATTTAGCACTGGAATAAGGAGCCTGACTGAGCAATGGGATCTGACCTGGAGATGTCCATAGTGTCAGAAGTACCTTCACTCATTTGCAGTCATCCATCTGGTTTGACGGTCTTTTGACTACATTGAAAATGGCCATTAGCTCCCAAGCCAGGTTCAATATAAACCTTAGGAACCAATTATTTGGCAAATTCTTCTTCCAGTATAGGCTTAACATAATAGCTAAAATCATTGGAGGAGACTTTGTGAGTTATCCCATCATTAGTAAATTGTCATCTGGGACTCACTTGGGGGGGGCAGTTCTGTGGTGGGACCCAATTTATGAAAAGCTTTTCCTGCGTTAAATTTTTGTAAGTGGGTACCACTGGTTGGGTTTTATTAACCAATGAACTCCTCCTTCCCTCCCTCCCTCTGTATGGCCACCCATCTTAACAAGTGACTCTGGGCAGTGAGCAAAATTAAAATAAAATTGCAACAATTCAAAAATTAAAATACATAGCAACTGAGAAAATACCATAACCCATAATCACTAATAGAACCAAGAAACAGGTCCCTGTACACCTTGGGGTCCCAGGTCTGGGCACAAAGCCAGATTGTTATGAACTCTCACTTTATAATTTATTCCTTGTCTGGAGTTTTCATTTATGATTGCGTACTCCTACAAGATATTTTAGGATAAATAAAATGCCAGTTCTTCACTCAGTAAAAACAATTGTTTCCCACCATAGCTGATCACACAACCATGGGGAAGAAATTGGCTGAACTGCTTTACCTAACTCAAAACAACCAACTATGTAGCTGCTTTGTCTTTGCCAACTTTGTTCCACCCTCAATATTCGAAACAAAACTTAATTCTCATTTGAAATTCACAGTTCCTGAAAGTTTGCAATGCAGTTTGACAAAAATAAATGTTATTTTTTATCTATATCTATATATACATACACACACACACGGAAAACTCCCTAGTGTATTAGCGACTACACTAATGAAAATCATAAAAATATGCCTTGTGCTAGGAACATGATGTGCAAAAACTGTATGCATTAGTCAAAAGTGCATACAGAAACGTGTACTTTTGGGGAAATAGGCATTTCATTAAAAACTTTAATTTAAAACTTTAAAATAATCCATTTGGATAACTAGAACTTGGCATATTCACTCAAATGAGAAATTGGAAGAGATGAAAATTCACAGATTTGCCTATCCCCTTGTCATTGCCCTAACGATCTCATTCCTAGTGATTTTTCATCAGCGAGATGCAGTGTATACCAGGGTGATCACACCGTAGAGCTTCTCCACTTTCTCTCTCAGCTCCTTGAAGCAAGAGGTCAGCCTGTCATGAAGAGGTTTCAGTTGCTCGGTCAGTTTCTTCCCATGGATCCTCACCCCTTCAGCCAGCAAAGGCATCTGTAAGAGGCAAACCAGATCTGAAGACTAAGGAAGCACAGAAGTAGAGGGCTGAGCATAGCTTCCAATGGGATTTGGAGGACAGGAAGGCACATCTTGGGTATTTGTTGGCTAAGGCTCACCAATAAGGCTAAGCCATGCTTAGTCAAATCTAGATGCTGTGTCATATTTATTTGGGTAAACTTAAATCTCACCTTTCCTCCAGCTCAAGTGAGTTTATCTAGCATTCTTCCTCCAGGTTCCCCCCCCCATATTTCCATGGTTCGAGGTGGACCTGAATCTAGTCCAGCATCTTAATCCCAATGCCATTCCAGCTCTCATTTAGTGTCTTTCTTTTTTGTCACAATCCTGATTTATGGCTTCATTTTTTATAATTTTGTATGGTTTGGACTTTTGTATTTTCTGTACTTCTATGGTTTGTTTAATTGTATCCTGGTTGGGAATGATTTTGAACCACTAGCAAGCTAAAATATGTTCTAAATAAACATCAATTAACCATAACTGGCTGAGTTCTACAACATGCAGAGCTCTAAACCATGGCTTATGGCTTGGTTTGCAAGTTATAATGGCTAGGTTCACCCAACATCCCACACCAAGCCAAAACCAAAGAAACCTCATTGCAGCTTAATGTGATGTGTACCAAATCTCTGATTTAATCTGCTGGTCAGCAACTGACAGTGGGTATTTCCTACGTGCAAAGGTTCAGCAGGTTTGGACTTGATTAATATTTGAACCAGAAATCACCAAGAAATGCCAGGGCTATTCACTAGACTGTGAATAAAAGAAGAATCGCCAAACCATTTTGTATTGCTGTCAACACAGACTTGCTCATGAAGTCCCCATCAAGAGTCAAACTTCTTGAATATTTACCTTTACCTTGCTCCTCAAGCTTCTTTTTAGTTAAAGCTGTGGGTTATTAGGATTGTGCAAAGCTTTGGCTTTAAGGGCAAAAAAGATGCTTCAGCGTCCGTGAGGATGTGAACGTAGCACCTGTCTGCAACTTCTTAAACTTAGCTGCATTGCACAACCCTGAGAAAAAATGTATTTGGTTTCAGAAGCTGCAGACAAGTGCTATTAGCCCACCCCTATTTACTTCAAAGCATCTTCGGTCTATGCATTTGAAGCACTGCATTGCTCTATTAGACAGAACTTCAATATTCTGGGTGCAAAGCACATGCTTTTTCACTGAGCATTATTTTCTCTCTTAATAAGAGCAACGCTCTGATTGGCTCCAGAACTCTCCTTAGCACTTCTGTGATTACTTCTAGCTTTCTCTTTGGGATACCAATAGACTATCTCAAATACAGGCCTTTCTAGATCTTAAGTTGTGTCGCTATGCTTGGCTGTTCTGCTTTGGGAAGCGTTTTAGTGTTTGCGTGTGGGTGTGTGCGCCTTCGAGTCATTGTTGGCTCCTGTGACTGCCTAGACTAGTCCTTGCAGTTTTCTTGGCAAGATTTCGGAAATAGTTTGCCATTGCCTCCTTCTTAGGGCTGACAGTGAGTGACTGGCCCAAGGTCACCTGGCTGGCCTTGTGCCTAAGACGGGACTAAAACTCACAGTCTCCTGGTTTCTAGCCTGCTGCCTTAACCACTATACTAAACTAGCTCTCATTTTAGTGTTACTGCTAATTAATAGTGGTACTACTAATGCTTTTTTATGGGCACTGCAGCTAGAGCAAGTAGAAGGCTGGCCAGGAATTCTGGAGATTGCAGTCCCAACACATCTAAAGATGCTACATCGGGAAAAGCTATACTATGATGACAATGTTATTTCTGCAGAAAAACCTATGCACACCTATCCACATTATTTGCATTTTTGCAAGTACCTGTAGAGCAATTAGTTGCTTGAGCAATTCAATCTTTTCTTGATCTTCAGGGTGTTCCTGAATATATTTCTCAGTGAAAAAGGCCTGCAGAGATGAAATGAAGAAACAATACAGGTTAAAAGTTTGATCCTGTCATGAAAAATTCGGATTAAACTATATGAACAGTCTCTACCCATGGCTGGCTGGGGAATTGTGGGAGTTGAAGTCCACTCATCTTAAAGTGGCCAAGTTTGGACAACACTGGTTTAACTGGGGAATTGTGGGAGTTGAAGTCCACTCATCTTAAAGTGGCCAAGTTTGGACAACACTGGTTTAACTGGGGAATTGTGGGAGTTGAAGTCCACTCATCTTAAAGTGGCCAAGTTTGGACAACACTGGTTTAAATGGTTTTCCTGCATGTTGCAGAGGGTTGGACTAGATTATGGAGAGGATCCTTATGGTCCTCTCCATAAGGATCCTATGAAAATTTCCTACTATGAATGACCCAGGATTTTTTTTTTTAAAATAAGAAAGCTAAAGGCACAGGATAGAATCTTAGTTATTTTTATTTCCATGCTATGCAAAATCTCAGGCTAAGATCACCACATTCTCTCAACTGTGATTTCTGAGGATAAGTGACTCAGGAAGGCATATCTGGCTTCCTAAGAATGAATGGTACTTAGGCCTTGAAAAGTTTCAATCTCTGCAGCACATTTTAGTCAAACATCCGTCAGAATATTTTTTAGAATTGCCTTATGCTTGGTTCCCTACTTCCTTTCAGGAAATGTGGGACAGCATACTATTATTTTGCAGTTCTGACATTGGTATTCCATTCCACAATACTCTGAACTCAACAGTTCTCTCCAAAAACAAGACACAGAGTGAGGACAAGGAGCAAGAGTTGCAGCCTGTCTGAATTGGTTGTAGGTGGATGAGTTTTAAAATGGAAGCATAAAGTCAGCCAGAGCATAGCATGGCTGAGAACACCAAAGAAAGTATTATGCACAGACATACCGTGCCTCTCTTGGAAACAACACATTTTTGATTTTTGTATTCAAGATGCTTACTCACTATTTTCCTTCAATGCATGGCTTTTCTATTTCTGGAATTTTTGAACATCATCGCAGTAAATGTCATGTTATCTTTTAAAAAAAAATATCCGCTTCTTGGAAATACTGTGGACACAGACTGGAATCTTACAGCAACTATTTATAGTCCTCCAGAATCATCTCTACTGAAATCAACCCACCATGGAGAATTGTATGGATGGCAAAATTAAGAAGGGCTCTGAGTGTAGCTGGAATATGTGCCAATTAAAACTGGGACAAGGGATCAAAGACAAACAGCATAAAAGAGAGCCTCAGTTTCTTTTCTTTTTTTAAAAAAATATTTTCTTTATTAAAAGTTTTCACTACAATAATAAATGATAATACAAACCATGAAGAAAAAGAAAAACAGAAAGAGAGAATAAAAGGTGAAAGAAAAAAAGAAAGAAAAAATAAAGAAAAAAAGAACCTAAGAGAGCAACTTTCCACCCTCATCAAGACAAGTATAATCAGTTTCACTAGCTCTTTACCTCCTCTTAATTAATGGATATAAAACTCTTCAACCCATAACTCAACTCTTAACTATAGGCAAGTCCAATATGGCAAATGTCTTTTCCACTCCAGGTGTCAGCAAAATGTCCAAACAGAGCCCTAAAATAACTAAATAACATTAGTTAACAAATATAAAACTCATCTTTCCATATCTCATCTCTTAACTGTAAGCAAATCCAATACATTGCTGTTCAAGTCCAGATGTCAGCAAGTCCAGAAAGAACCACTCAAAATAACATGTCCCATTTTAACCCTGATCAAATAAGCTAACTTTATGTTCCTTCCTTTTGCATAAAACAATCTTGCTCTTTAATCCATTCAAATGATTATTGAT